ATTTCCACATTGCGACGTGATAATAATGTAAATTTTTATAATAAGATTTTAAAAAGCAAAGATGGTCAATACTCCAATCACTCAGTTTGATGCTTATTTTACTAAAGAAAAGTCCTGCTACTGAGAATTTCCTTGTTGATTCAATTGATGTGGGTGGAATTGTCTTTAATGCATTTAAGAGAAGACGGATGTTATGTGTTTTTTCACCTGTAACCTGGAAGATTTCTAGTTTATTTTCGAGATTGTAGTACTTCTTTAGCCGTCTAGTATTCTTCATTTGTTACATTGGCTGCTTTAATAGAAACATCAGGTTTATAGCCCAATAATTTGGCAGTTCGTTTGTCTTTAATAATCAGGTTTATGAAGAAAAACTTCATACTTGCAGATTTGTATTTTTGCCCAATTTGCACAATCTGGCATTATGCAGTTATTGAAGCTACTGGGCATGGTTAAAAATTAAGACAGCATAAGCACAATTATTTCAGATATTACAGGTTCTGACAAGTAAAGGATTTTCAGTCCTGTCACAAATAGGTTACATATTGATTATTAACAATCTGTGACAAGCAAAAATTTAAAAAACTAATAAGCAGGCTTAAAATTAATAAATACAAATGTATTCTGACAGTTTGAGTTAATTATACTTTCTATTTGCAAAATTTCCTCAACTTTAACACAAAATAAGAAAAAATTGAACTTTTAAGAAATTTGCAGGATTTTCCAGGTTAAAAAACAGCCAGGATCCTGGGTTCCTGTTGGAGAAATCTTAGTAGGGGTGTTTCTCTTAAATCAGTACTTTGCAATTTTCTTTCTAAAAGTTGGAGATCAAGACTGACAAATGCTTTCAATGATCTACAAAGACAGAAGTCATTGAATTAGATTTATCCAATTTCGACATAATTAACTGCTTAATGTATAAAAATTGTTATCTTCCAGTCACCTATGAGCAAAAATTTGTATCCATTAAAGTATTATTGGCATTTCAAAAGTGTTGTTTATATTACACGGATTTTATAATGTATTTATCTGTAGTATATTTTTATGTTTCAGAGTGATCGATGTTGGTTCAGAATGGAGAACATTCTCCGATGAAAAGGCTGATTCTGATCCATGTCGTGTTGGTGCGGCTGAAGTAAGTAAATGAGACTTTCTTATTTAACAATTAAGTAATAAAGTTTGTTTTGATGATAATGACTTCGTATTAAATAGATGTAGGGTTGAAATGTTTTGTCTCGAAAAACATTTCAACCCTACATCTATTTAATCTATTTAATTTCCATCTATTTCCATCTCAAGTAGCTTTGGATCCCAATCAAGTAGCTTTGGATCTTGGGATCCAAAGCTACTTGAGACCTAAAACCTATGTTTCCCAGATAATGTTTGTGGTTTGCTTAATAATTTTTAATGGATTATCTGTTTTGGACATTCATAAATTTGAATTAAAGAACAGGTTATGTTAATAAAAATTTACATACTACTACTAGTACTGATATTTAGTAAACATTACATAAACGAAAGAAAAAATGTTTTTGGCCATTTGTGTTGCAAATAATTTTTTACTTGAGCTTGTCTGTTTGATAAAAGAAATTTTTACTAACAAACTTCTTTACTTAAATTTGTAGTTAAACATTTGAAATGCAGAGCATTCTCTGCTTTGATGATGATACATAAATTAACATAGTTATTGTGACAACTGAGGGGGGTATGACAATGTCGTACCTCCATGGATCGTCTTTCAAGTCGGAGGGACTTGCCCACTTGTCAGAGATGGCATAAATTTTCAGTTTATCCCGAGGGAATGGGGCAAATTTTCCAGGTCTGGTCGAGTGTAGGAGGGAGGAGTGCTGTCAGAGAGGCAACTGACGATATACGATTAAAAGAGGACACCAATTTAACAAAGAAACAACAATTTATTGATTAACTATATAGACTATACAATAATCTATCATTGTGGAATTCTGAGTGGAAATTCTGAGTTCCTAAAGGGGCCAAGAGAGAGTTCACAGAAGTTGGTTCCATACCTCTTTATGTATTAGGATCTCCAAGCGAGGGAAAGAATCCACTGAGATGTTGAGGTTCGAAACAGGGCACAAAGTTATAGCTAAATTGTAGGGTATTGGCACTACTACTGTCGATGAGTGACTCCCTGGAGGGGGGAGAAATGGCTTTTATCGTTTTGCGGTGGAAAAACTGTCATGTGACTAATTAGTTACGAGGTAAAAGGTGAGGTCAGAGGTGTCCCCGGAACCTAAATAAAATGATGAAATCGGATGGTAACTATAAACTTTAAGTCTTATAGTGTGGGAATAGTTGTCGAGATGGGCGAATGTTTACCTTGGAATAAAGGGGAGATTAAAATTTCTCCCTCTCAAGTTGTTTCCACTCTAGTTTCTTAGGAAAATTTAATTGGTTTTTAGGTAATAACGGGACATTGACTGAAAAAAAATCAGTAAAAATTTCGGACTTCATATTATTACCTTTCTAGTGATTTATGTGAATTTATTCCATGTTTTACTGAACAGCAAGCTGTAAGGAACTTTGTTCCATGCATATAATTGTATGCAAGGTATATGGACAATATTTTTATTATTCAGAAAGACAAACCTAAATTAGGTGATCTAAGAGTATTTAACAACAACTGTAGCTTAACCCTAGCTTTTGCTTAGTCCAGCAATGCAATAGTCCAGTTCTTACACCTGGAAATTGAGCTAATTCAGAAGAAAATAATTACAAGAGTCAACCTCAAGCCAATGTATCAAGCTATATAATCTATACCATCTAATTCTAATGACCTCAGGAGATTTATAAAATACAAAAACACTAATGCCAAGTAATTTTACAAAATTAACAACACAGCTGTCTATCAGCATTATAGAAACGGTTTGTTTAAGCAAGTACTTTTGACAGTATATAACTATCCCCTTTAGGTGATATTATCATTTACAGAGAACAGAATTCCACTATTTCAAAAATCGAATATAAAAGGTAGAGCATTTTACAAAATTGTTCCTTGTGCAGAAGTGTGGAAGATAATTGAAATATATAAAATTACAAGTGTTAACAACTAGAGTACTCAAAGAAATAAAACAAAAATTGCCAAACTAAAATATAAAAGTAACAAAATTTACTAATTAGATTGAAGCCGTTATATTTTAGGATGACTGTCAGAATGCACTGCCTCCGTCTTGTGGAGTATTGTGAAGATGTTGCACATAATAGGTGTACAACAGAGCTTGCTAAACAAGTAATTGAGGATAAATTTGATTCACTTTGGTTACAAACTTCACTTCTAAGACGTGGGGATTGAAGAATCACTATTTATGTGGAAGTCTCTCTTCATTGCATCACTGTCATCGTGCAGCTCTAATACTTGACATACTGGGACTGTGGATAGTGCTATTTAAGCTTCTAAAATCATAAGTTGTGTATTTCATTGTAAAAAGTATTTCACTTTGTTATGGTGCTATTTAGGGATTGTATACTGGTTTACCTATTTACTGGTTAACCAATAAATTGACAAAAAAACATTCGGTAAACTTACTGGTAAATTTTTGAAATTTACTGGTAATTCGGTAAATGAAAAATCCATACTAGAAATTTCTATGTAGAAAATATTGTGTTTATAGATATTTAAATGGGCTAAAGGGACATTGAGAAAAAAAAAAAAAAACAGGTAAGTGTAAGCAACAATATACCTCATTATTAATTTTATGTGAGATAGCTTTTGTTTAATTTTAATTTAATGCCCATTCATCCAACAAGTGTTAAATCAGAAAGGATATTCTCGGGATCTGGATTATTTTGTACAAAAATTAGATCAAAATTAGGAGATAAGACTATAATTTAAGTTTGTTGAGAAGTTAATTTAAAAAAATGGTAATTAATAAAATGGTATTAGGTACTATATATTATTTCTGTTGTATTTTTATTTTTCTGTATTATTTTATTTCTGCTTATTTTTATATTTATTATTATAGTTTGTTTAGAATAACACTTTAATTTATATATTTTTTATATTTGATATCTTTGAAATAAAAATGTGAAATGGAAATGGAAATCATAATGACTTATATTTTTTATCACCTTAATTTTATTTTTCAAGAAAAAATTTACCGGTAATTTACCGGTAAACTGGTATTTTAATTCTCATTTACCGAATTACCAGTAAATGAAAAAGTCGGTAAATTTACAATCCCTAGTGCTATTCTGTATTAATTTACTTTTGTGTGTTAGTTTGGCAATTTTTATTAGTTTTATTTCATTGTGTACATGGTTGTTAAAAATTTTGTAATCTTATATATTTCAATCACGTTTCATGCTTGCTCAAGAAAAACAATTTTGAAAAATGTTTTTAAATGTTTATATTCCATTTTTCAAATTGTGGGCATTTTCTTTTCTATGAATGATTATATTGTCTGAAGAGGATAGTTATATACTGTTGAAAGTACTTACAAAAACAAATCTTATCTGTAACACTGATAGACAGTTGGGTTGTTAATTTTGTGACCAAGGGAGATACAAAACTGCAGCTTTTAGTACCCAAATAAATTGTGCGTACACTCGTTGCTTTCTCAAAGTAGACACTAATCAAAAAATAAGACACTTTAGGGAAATTATCTTTAAACATGGGTGCAGCACAAGTTTTATTTCCAACCTAACTTGAGATATAAAAGCTAAAAGTAATAGTGGCAGCAAGATGAATAATAACATGGAGCAAAAAAGGAGTCCTAAACTAACAGCCTAAATTACAAACTTGTGTACAAAAATAGTGGCTTATGTAAACAAAAAAAATAGCCTGTACATGTTGCGCTGTTATATTTAAACTACTAACTAATGGTAGAGATGAATTACACTTAGAAAGATCTTTGGTGTCTATTAGTGGACACAAGATGTAACATTTCTTTAGCATATATAGGCACCACAGGTAGATTGTTAACTATTAGAATTAAAGAACACCAATACAACATCCAAGAAGTATGGTACAAAACAGCATTGGCCCAATTTCTGAATGAGTTCACAGTGTTGTCCAGTGGGGAGAGATGAAAAGAATGCACAGAATTTACAATTCACAAAGCTCAGAACAGCAGAGGCTGTTGAAATTTATAAGCAGGTACAAAAAGGAGGGTGTAATAATTAGAGACAAACTAAATCTGCCACATGCATGGCAGCATTGGATTGAATGTTGTAATCTAACTTTATTTTAATTTGTTAATTCAAAAACTGCACTTTCAATAACACTAATTACACTGCTGGCCATCCAAAATGCAACACCCTGAAGGAAGCATCCAAATCAAGTAAAATTTGCACCATGCGTTTGTGGCAATGAGATATGCAAATGATTAGCATTTCAGCACAAACGCACATCATGGGTGCCTGTTGCACCACCTGCAAGCGCTATATAAAGGGAGAATAGAGGCCATTTTGAAGTACTGGAATTGTTTTTTTGTGCGTTTTTTTCGGCGTAAGCAGCTTCAGTATGCCCCACAGAAGAAAATGAGCATTTTTCGAGCATGTTTCTGAGTTTGACTGAGGAAGAATAGTTGCCTATAGTGATTGCAGATTATTTTTCAGAGAAATCGGTGATCGTGTCGGACGTAACCAAGCAACTGTGATGCAGATCTGTAACAGCTGGATGCAGGAGGGAACAACGGACTGACAGGATCGATTGCACCCACCTCATTGCATCACTGCATGTGATGACAGGCATATCGTGCGCACAGCAGTGATGGATTGCTGTGCCACATCATGAAGCATATCACAACAAATTTGGTCTGTTGCACAACAATCGGTGTTCACGCATACCATTCGACGTCGTTTGCAGCAGAGTGGAATGTCCGCAAGGTGTCCATTGCCACATTTACCGTTGAGTTAAACCACATGCGTTTGTGCCGGCAATGGTGCGATGAATGACAGACATGGACAACTGAATAGAACAACATTGGTTTTACTGACGAATCCCACTTCTGCCTACAACACCATGATGGTCAGATTAGAGTCTGGAGACACCGTGGTGAGAGACGGCTGAACTGTTGCCTTATGCATCACCATACTGGTCCTAGACCCAGTATTATGGTATTGGATTCCACTCCCACACCCCCTAGTACGCATTGCCGGTACACTGACCAGCCAGCG